AGAAAGAAAGAAATAGGACTTGATTAAATTAAAAAACTTCTGCACAGCCAAAGAAATAATCAGCAGAGCAAACAGACAACCAACAGAATGGGAGAAAATATTCACATGCTACATATCCAATAAAAGGCTAATAACTAGAATCTACAAAGAACTCAAGCAAATCAGCAAGAAAAAATCAAACAACCCCATCAAAAAGTGGGCAAAAGACATGAACAGAAGCTTTTCAAAAGAAAATAGACAAATGGCCAATAAACATGTGAAAAAATGTTCAATGTCACTAATCATGAGGGAGATGCAAATTAACACCACAATGAGATATCGCCTTACCCCTGTTAGAATGGCTTTTGTTAAACAGTCCAAAAATAATGATGGCATGGATGCAGAGAATAAGGGATGCTTCTACACTGTTGGTGGGACTGAAAATTAGTACAACTTCTATGGAAAACAGTATGGAGATTTCTCAAAGAACTAAAAGTAGACCTACCATTTGATCCAGCAGTCCCACTACTGGGTATTTATCCAAAGGAAAAGGAATCATTTTATCAGAAAGACACCTGCACTCAAATGTTTACTGCAGCACAATTCACAACTGCAAAGATGTGGAATACACCCAAGTGCCCATCAATTTATGAGTGGATTAACAAAACGTGGTATATGTATACCATGGAATACTACTCAGCCATGAAGAAAGGTGACTTAATGTCTTTTGTAACAATTTGGATGGAACTAGAGACCATTATCCTAAGTGAAGTACCCGAAGAATGGAAAAATAAACACCATATGTACTCACTATTAAATTGGAACTAACGGATGAGCACGCGAGCGCATAGAGGGAAATAAAACTCAACGGAAATCAAGCGGGGGGAGAGGGGAGGAGGAGATTGGGCGTAAGCTTATCTAACGGGTACAATGAACATTATCTGGGTGACGGGCACCATTGTAACCATGACTCAAGCATTATAAAAGTGATCCATATAACCAAAAATACTTGTACCCTCCCTAATACTTTGAAATTAAAAAAAAAGATAAGTTAACAGCTTGATTGAACAAATTTCTGGCCTTTGAACTACAGATTCAGCAAAATTCTTAGATGTGGAAACTGAACAACACTCCTCCCTGCACCAGCCACAGCTCTCTTTCCATCAGCTGCAATTTTAATTGACCTCACCTCTGGCAGGAGCTGCCCAGCAGGAGAGGTGAGCGCAGAAGGGCCTCCGACCAGGGAGACCACGCCATTGCAATCCACGGCACTGTGCATCTTGCCATTCATGGGCAGAATAGGAAGCACCCTGGAGGCGCGGCTGGCCTGGCTGACATTGCTGTGGCGCCGTTCTCCATGCCTGTGCGGCACAAACAGAGAGTCTCTTCGGCTATCATTGTCCTCGAAGGTGCTGTGCTCATCGTCAGCGAAGTCATTCTCGGAGCCAATATCCTTTGTTCGACCTCTGAAACTGAAAAGGCTCGCCCTACTGTTACGTCTTGGAGAGAAAAGCGAGCCACGGATGCTCAATAAAGACTGTGAATGAATAATAAGAAAAGAAACAAAAACCAGATGAACAGAATTAATAGATGGCATTCTGGGAGACATGACCTGACTCATGGTTTCATAATTATTGACTTGGGTTAAGGATAAGTCCTTGGACAGGTGGAACCAAGGGCTCCTGTGGCAACCACTGGTGGCATTTTGGTTTACCTCTTTTGTTTTGCTTTTCTTTTTTCTCCCTTCTTTCATTTTTCATTTTCTGCTCTCTTATTTTCTTCTACTCTATTCATGCCTTAACACTGTACATTGTTTTGTCCTATTACTGGCACCCACAACTGAAATTTTTGCTAGTCCCTCTAGAAGCTAATTTCACTTAACAATCCAATGGAAAACAATTAAACACACACCTATAATTATATCCTTTGAAGCCAAAAGTATAGCCAGTAAGAGCTCACACTAGTGCCCAAGCCCAGATGAAGACTTACCACAGAGGAAAATAAAATTAGTCTTGCTAGTGGGGTCTGTTTAATTATAGTACAAAGAACAGCTTCTCCCCTTCCCTTTGCATATTTTATAATAGACTTCATGAATAAATTAAACAAATCAAGCTGAAACAACTGTATGATTTATTTCTCTATTTTCACTCTTTTGTATCAAGAAATCTGAAGAGCACTGTATTTACAAAAACTTGGTTTTCATTAAGAATCTGATCACCATCATTTACGATTTTCTAAATAGTGACCTTGTCACTAACATCATGCAATTTACCTTGTTTCTTAGCCACAGCAGCATTGACAAGATTAAATCACTTTCTGTGTTACTAGTCTACTTTTGTAATTTCACTCTACTCTAGTGAATACTTGTTTTTGCATATACAATATCCATTTCTTTTTCTGTTGACAGTATTCTGATCTTTTTTTTTTTTTTTTTTTTGAGAAATGCTCCTCAACTCTTGGGCCAGGTGATTTGGGAGATACTCAAGCCAATTCCATGATCCAGCAGTAGGACAAATGTCCCAGGCCTAGACAATCAGTGTATTCCATACCTCTAGCCATAGAGAATAATTTAAAGAGGGGCATAGAATCTTGCTTGGTCATTGAGAGCTACCCCTTTCTTTTACAACTTTTGGAAAAGAAGTGCTTTTGCAGCTGGGGCTTCTGAATATATTGGATATAAGTCTGGGGCTGCAGTGGGCATCTCGCCACCGTATGGAAGGAATCTGGACTTGAGATATGGAGAAAGACTTGATCGTGATAACATGTTTCGAGCTTCTGGATTCATCCATGCCAAAAGCAACTCACAGAAATTATTTACATGATCTAATACATTATCTTTTTTGCTTAAGCCAGACTGAGTTGCATTTCCATGATTATTAATGGAAAGAATATTAATATTTCATCATTTAATATCATTGGCTTGATTTTTTATCTCTAAAGGATTTAAAGTCAACTAAAATTATTATATTGTACCTATACAGTTTTTTATTTTTTTCAAATTTTTTGTAGGGGGGGGGTCTCACTATGTTGCTCAGGCTGTTCTCGAACTCCTGGTCTCAAGCAATTCTCCTCCCAAAATGCTTAGGATTACAGGGGTGTGCCACAGCGCCCAGCCCCCATCCTACATAGTTTTTATATCTCTGATCAACAAATATGCTTTTAGTTTTGTTTTCAGCTAAAGAATTATTTCTTCTCAATAATGTCCATAAAATGTCTATGATGTTAAACCCTATCTTATGTGATCCTACCCATTATTTACAGGAGGAAGCACATCTAAGAAAACTTACTGCTCTCCCAATAGAAGTCATTTTTCCTTTTTCTGTTCCCACGTTTTTCATCCTACTATCAACTTCATTAGTAAAATTCCTTCTTTTCCTCTATTGTTTTCCACTGTAGTAGTTATTTTTTAAAGTTTCTCCTAGACTATCCAACTCCTTTCATGCCTCCTTTCTCTCTTTTTACAAAGGACTTTGAATTAGCTATGAGAACACAATGGTTAAGGATTTACAGGATTGGTGACCTACTGCTTATCATCAACTCAAAAAGAAAGGCAGACAGGAAATGCTTGTTGATGAGAAATAAAGTAGAAATTATTTTTATGTATCATTTTAAGTAAGAGTTAATACTTTAACTACAAGTACACCATTCAACTAGAGCCATGGAAGGGTTGGAAAGAAATAAGTTATAAAATTGCACGTTTCTCAAGGTTCAAAGGTGAATTGAGCCATACAAGAGCAACATTTATATGTGACAACTACATGAAAAATGATTGTGCCCCATCCGTTAGCATCAACTTCTATTGCTTACATTAATTACATAAATGCATAGTAATCAAACACTGTGCTACAAATAAAAGATGGCCGGTAAGAAAAATACTCCCCACCAAATGAATTTCTAAAAGGTAAAAATCCTGGTTTATCACAAATAAAGAGGAAAATAATAAGAAGGTCAACTTTATCTTACAAAGGGTTCAAAAATTTATACAGTTGTCTTGAAACTTAATTAGAGATTGCACTCTTGACTTTTTTCTCTGCCCCGTCCCACACGAACAAGTCAAATTGGAGTCTAAGAAATATTTCATATTTCAGCCTACTCTACTGAGGCAATTATAATCTTGAAGTAAAGGCTTACATTATATTTTTTTCCAACATGAATGCAGAAATGGTTACCAACACAATCTCCTTTCCATCACATCACCACAAAACAATAGTTCTTAATATTTTGGGGACTTGGACTCTCAAATAATCTAATAAAAACTATGGGCCCTCCATCACTGTAGGTGATCACTGATAGGTTAACCTCTATCTGGTTTGACATTTTAGTATTATTTTTAGAGCTTGTAAAGTGGGGTTAATGTGATTTCAGTGTTTCTCTCTCTCCCCCCCTCTATTTCCCTCCTTTTCTCTCTCTTTTCCCTCCTCTCCTCTTTCTTTCTCCCTCCCTTTTCCTGTTTCTCTTTCTCTCTCCCTTTCCATCCTCTTAGCCACTTTTTGGACTATTTCTTTATCAGGAAAAATAAAAGTCTTTAACTCTATGTTTATAGAGAGACTGCTTAGGAAACAAATATCAATTTGAGCCAGACATTCTATGTCTTATAAGTCAGCGATCGCTTATAATGCTTAACTAGCTAGGAAATAAAGGTACGTAGAGGTGTGAAAAAGAGACTACTGGGAAAAAAGTTATTATATCTGTTTGCAAAATTTACAGAAAAAGGAGGAACAAAACCTAACCTTTTCAGATTTCATAATTTTACATAGAATTTTTTCTACTGAATTTGAAATAAAGCAATTGAAGAGAATCTCTGTGGTACTTGTTGATATGAAGTTTTAAATTCAGGCCAAAATCTAGGCAAATTTAGGCAAAAAGGTAGACAAAAATACCCTAATCCCTACATTTTTTCTTCCCTCTTTCCCTTCCTTTGTTTTCCCTCTCTTCCTTCCCTTTTAAGATGACCAATTCTATAAACAGATGATTTTGATTTTTAAGAGATTTACATCTATTGATTAATGTTTCTACTACAGAATCATGATTGTGACAACAAAATGAGAGCAAATGGGTGATTGTCAACATTCAGTTAAAGACATATTCTATTTTAAATTTGAATTCAACCGCCATTTATTCTATCTCATAATGTTATTTGGATTTGGAATGAATCAGGGTGACCTACAAAAAATTTACATATATTAAACATAAGGTTATATGAGACTATATTATATAAGGTACAAAGAGCAAGTATAGTTCTAGATATATGTATCTTTTACATGAAATCATATTATAAATTTCCTTACTAGTTTTTAAAGGTATTCTTTCTGAGCAGACTGATAAAGTCGAAAGTTCAAGGGTTTCAGTGACAGGCCAGATATACCTGAATATATAGAGAATACTCAGCCTTGAGTAACTATATGACATTGGGCAATTATTTAACTTCACTGAGCCAAAACTATAGTGAAAATAATACTATTCAGCAGAGTTGCTAGCATTAATTATGATAGTGTAAAAAGAATGCCAAGCATAAAGTAGGCACTTAAAAAAAAGTACAGCCCTCCCCTGCTCTTCACATCTAAAAATTAGAAATGATAATTAAGTTATTACCTACCTAGGGTTGTAGCGAAAGGCTTAAGTGAATTTATATTGCAAGTAGCAATGCAATGGGTAAATATTAGCCATTAGCATTGCCATCAATGTTGTTGTTGTTATTGTCACTGTATAGATATTAAGGTTTCACTGCTGGTAAAACCGTCTTCTGAGGTACTATGTATTCCTGGGAATGCTCTTGGTAATTTCAAAGACAATTAAGGATACTAAACTTTAAAGTTTCAACAACTTGTGTGGGTACATAAGCCAGAGGCATCCAGGGAACCTTGTCTGCTGTATATAAATCAGGGTATTCTTCGAATGCATGTCCCATGTTTAACATGAGACACAGATAATTAAGTACAACTAAACACCACTGTTTATTTAGTTTCATAAATCTTCTTCAGTGCATGTTTACTTATGAAATTTGGCTACATGTTTAGAAAAAAATTTGCTCCAATCCCCTTGGAAACAAGGGGGTAAAAAATGCACCACGCATGTGAAATTCGCATGTGCATGGTAACAAATGCACAGATGGTCTGACAGAGCCCCTGGTCCACTTCCGGGAATCTGCCACTCAGAAAACCCACAGTTGACTGGATTCGTACACAGCAAGTAAGAAGCAATGGGAAGCATCTGCTGATAATTCCTCATGGGGAAAATTTACCCCAGATGCTTGAGTCTTTAAGAAAACCTCAAAACCACAAATCTTCCAAAGCCCAGTGGGATCTAAAATTTCCTTTCTAGGATATCGAAAAGTTGTAAAACCCACAAATCCTGGAGTAATAGCCAAAGCACTTGATGATCATGATCACTCTGAAAGCATTGTGCCATGCAGGCAGAAGGCAGTTTTATCTCCATCAATTCTGACATATTCTTTAAAAAAATTCTTATGAAAACACAATTCATGTAGTCTAATATCGTTACCTGGTGTGGAGAAGAAAATCTCTTTTCATATGTCAGCCTGCTTCCTTCTAAGGAAAAACGGAAGCCTTTTCTTCTTATGCTGTCTTCAGATTCAGATTTTCGGACTCTGTCATCCTTCTCTTCTTCTCCAGACTGTTCTTTCTGTTTCTTTTTCTTTCTTCTGTTTTTCAGCTCTTTTTCACTCTTAGAGCTCAATTTTGATGCTACTGAAGAACTTTCTGAGAAAACTCCTATTCCACCAGCTCCACTGAAGTCTCTTGATTCAGCAGATGCTGCTGCAGCTGCTGCCTGGAAGGGCACAAAGTGAGTGGTAGTTACATATAAACTTAGAAAAATTATCTATGTTCTTGCTTAATTTACCTTTACTATCATGAAGATGATCTTGAAAAACAGTTCTCCATTCTGTTAAATATTTGGGAAGACAGTACAGTGTTATTAGACCAACGAAAGAATAAAATCGACAGACATGTGGAAGATGATACATGTGACTTTGATGAAAACCTTCAAGCTCTGGCCTCACATTACGCTTTGTAATTATCTGATAATGTGAACAAGACACTCAAAGATCGTAACACCTTTTTCTATGATTTGAACAATATCTAAAAAGAAAGAATTAACAAATTAAAGGTTTCCTATTTAAATCTGATAGGCACTTGCCTCCCATGACACTTCTACTTGACAATGAATTTTAGTGCTAGTCTGAATTAATTAATTTAATTCAGTCAAATATTTTATTTTAATGAACTTTTTCTCTTTGATGGAAATTGAGTATTTCACTAGGAAGTACACTACAAAGACATATTAAAGATTATATATTAGAAGATCCCAGATCATGGCATCTGTATGAATTTTTAAATTATAATAGTACACTTTTTGAAAAAACATAGTGTTCAATGTTGTTGCTTTTACCTCAATATACTTTAGTTTCTGACCTTTTTTTTACATATTTAAGAATAGTCAGTTATAAAAGGGAATTGCATTCAACATCCCCCCCAAAAAAGAAAGACAAAAATAGGCAATTGGATTAGTTGATGCCATTAAATCAAGCAAATACAGTTCTTGCCTTATTTTGAAGGCTCGTCAACTCCAAATTAAAGGATTTATAGAGGAGGAGGAGAGAATGTTAGTGTTTTAGTACATTCACACACTAGTGACTTTCTTATGCAACCCAGAAGCCTGCATTTATACACTTCATATAGAGGAGAACAAATATTGAATAGGTCTTTGTCTTTCCAGACTCAATGAAATAATCTTCTTAGTTCAACTCTGGTTTTCTGACCTTTCCTAGTTCTAGCGAGACTGTAATGTTAGAAGCAGCTGTAACTGAATTCCTCTTCCTCTAAGAAAATATTTCAATTGAGGACATGTAGATCTACCTACTTGGTGAGTTTGAGTAGATGAGGATGTTAATAGTTGATTTCCTCAAGGAGTCACAAGGGAGAAAAAATAAGTCAATAAAGGAATTATAATTCTCCATGTTTTGATGTCATTAGCATTGACAATGATCACCAAAATAAAGTAATAATCGCCTAATAACCAAACAGGGTCCCAACACCTACCAAACACATATAACACGATTCTAATGTCAACTACCATGCCACTGACCTCAGCGTTTCCATCAGAGAATTGAGATAAACAAAAACGAAAGGGCTCTAACTTTGCTAACTATACCTGAGCTTCTTCCTGTTGCTTTTTTAACTGTTCAAGCATCTGCTGAAATTCAGCTTCCTTCTGTTCAGCCTCTTCCAGTGTTGCCTGGTTCTGTTCCTCATAGGCCATGGCCACCACAGCCAGGATTAAATTTATAAGGTAGAATGAGCCCAAGAAAATAACCAGCACAAAAAATATCATGTACGTTTTCCCAGCAGCACGTAGTGTCTGCGAAGTGGAAGAGATATTTTAAAAATTTTATATAGGATGTTACAAGCTCACAGTCTAAGTTATAAAGAATGCTATAGCAATTCTTTTGGTCTCAGTATTTTATGCTTTCCTGAAAAATCATTTAATCTGTTCTCACCAGTTGATAGAGGTTTTCCCAGAAGTCTTGAGTCATGAGACGAAATAAGGACAAAAAGGCCCAACTAAAAGTGTCAAAGCTTGTATAGCCATAGTTGGGGTTTCTGCCAGCCTTCACACAGATGTATCCTTCAGGACACTGGCTGCAATTAAGCCAGAGAAAAGAAAGGGAGTCAGTAACTGCCAGTCTGCTAGTTGGCTTTCCTGTTTTTATAGATACCAATGTCTATTTTCCATGAACACTAGAGAAAACTGATTTCTCTCACCTCACCCAACACTTAACCCAACACTATCTGGACTGATTTATATAATAACAGAATCTATTGTCTATTTTGTGGATTCTTCTGTGATTCAAAATTGTCATTATTATATTTATCATGTCTCCATATAAAAGCAATCATATCACGATTAGTATCTTCTGGAACTGCGGACTTGAAGAGATAAATGTGTCTATAGGGAAAAAGTTGATTTTCACTGAAGATGTCTTGAAGCTGATCTGTGTGAGTGTGGGGGGGCATGGCAAAGAGGTGAAGAAAGCATGGGGGAGACACACTGAAAGGAGGGAATGAGTCTGTGCAGGGAGGATTTCCTAGTATGACCTTAAAGATCAAGCAGACCTGGCCTCAATATCATGCTTGACACTTCTGAGCTGAATGATCTTGGACAAGTTTCTTAACTTGCTAATCTTTGAATGCCTCGTATGTAAGAAAGGGCTAATAACAGAACCTGCTTCACAAATTTGCAAACATTCAAGAGGATATTGTATGTAAACATCTAGTACAGTACAGACAAGGAATTACAATCAGTCTGTGTTACTCATCGTCGAATCTGTAGTTAAAGGCAGCACAATGTTGATCATAGGAGTCAAATTCAAAGCCTGTTTTCATTGGGAATTTTGCTAGAGTTATTAGTTACTAGTGTTTACAATATCATCTGCCATAGAAAGAGTGTTAGATTTTTGTCTATGATTCTAAAACCTTGACAATTAGAGAAATGTAACTATTTCTCTGAATTTTCCTAGGCTTTAGCTTTATGTACAATGCTTTGTAATACAAATATTTGCATGATGTCCACAATAATAATTAAAAGCATTTATTGAGTACTCTAATAACTACACATTCATTAATCCACTTAATCCTCTCAGAAACCCTACTATTATTGTACACATTTGTCATATGAGGAAACTAAGGCAAAGAGAGGTCTCATTATACAGTGAGGTCAAAGTTTGAATGTATGCAGACTTTCCAGTCGGTGCTCTTCAGCACTTTGCTAAAATATGCTAAAGATATACACTCACCATGCCTCAGATGTTTACATTATCTTCGGAGATCTCACATTTTAAGCCATGGAGATCACACTAGAATATATAAAATATCACACTTATAAAAGTATGTGCTTATGAATTCTATTAACTTAATCTTCTTATGTATATGCACTGCTTTTCTCTCTATTTTCCATTGAGCTAATTTGGAGGATTAGACGTGACCTAATATGGAAAAATAATTGCTGCATATGAGTGTGAGAGGGAGGTGAGAATCCACACTCACCCCAGCTATTCTGAGAGTCAGTGTGAAGTGGAACTTACGGAGGGCTTTGAATGAGGAGTGAGCATGGACCAGGTGAGTGGGAGGTGGCAGGTTATTGAGGCTGTTGGAGCAGTGTGGACTGAAACCCAGTAGGAAGCATTACTTACCCTGCATCTGAGCTGTTGCCACAAAGCAGAGCATCATTTTGCCCTTCCAAAAAATAAAAGTGACCTGTTTAAAGAGCAAGTAATAGAAAGAATCATTAAAAAGCCTATAAAACATTCCACCCATTGTGTTTAGGTAACAAGGCTTACAGATATTTCCATTCATAGTGAAATGGATAAAATAAGGATATATAGCACTAATTGAAAAGATTTTCGTAATATCAAATAAATATCAAAATAAAACATTTTTGATTACATAAATGTTTAGAAAATCTACTTTTAAAATAATTTTTTTCAAAAAGATCAACTATTATAGAATTCTCACATCAACATTTATTGCAAATATAAACTCAAATTGCTTGGGATACTTCAAGAAAGAGCTGTGAAATAAAGCTGCTGGCTTGGCACAAAAAGTGAGAGAGAGGGAAGCCTTGTTTCTGAATCCTTCCATGCAAATAAAATTTTACTTTACAAATACTTTTTGCCTGGATTCAAAATAGATTCACACTTTTTTTTGCTGACTATTTTAACTTAATTTTCTGTGAGAAGTAGGTTTAAGTATTTGTTCCCTCTCATAAATAAGTGTTTTGTTTTGGGTTTTTGCTTGATTTCTACCTTTCAAATGTACAAGATAAACTTGTTTCTTTGGAGATATATGTAGTCTAAGTATATCTGGTTTTTAATTTCAGGATATGATTTGCATATAACTTTAATTAATTGCATAGATGATCCCAGGAAACATACACACACAAACATATATATTTATATATTCACATACAAACACACACACATACACATAAGAAAATTGATAGTGGGTCTGGATTCAATGATAGGAAATCATCCTGAAGTGTATGTCATCAATAAGTTTATTCTGATACCTATGCCTAAAATAAAATCAAACTATATTGATAAACAACTATAATACAATGACTGACACCAAAGGGACAAGAGGAATATCAGTTAGTGAATGGGCGAATCAGGGTTACTTAACTTTCTGATGAGTACACAAATTCTGATTTCATCTTGGTTTCATCTTCTCTATTTCCAGATACATCATATGTACTCAATACATATGGTGGGTCAACCAAGAAGGGCTGAATTATTAATATTTTCCCCCCATTCTTCTTAACACATTTCAGCAGAATACACTGAACAGTTCAGACTACTGATTTATTTATTAAGATGGCTGAAAATGCCTGATCAATGCCTACGAAATAAATATTTTTGTTTATATAGCATATGGAATTGTTTTCAACCCTAGCTTTGGAGAAGATAACACATTTTCAAATGGTAACTTTTACCTTATCAATTGACAGATAAGAAAAAAGGAGTAAGGTATCATTTGATTTCTCCATTATAAGGATTAAGTCATCTTAAGGTAGTCTAGGTCATTTGGTTCACATCAAAATTGAGATAATTTCCATTATATATGATTTTTAGTATTTAAAGAACTAAACAACTTAATGGTTAAAAGAATATATCTTACTTTTGTCCTCAATATATTCATCCCAGTTAAACATGCTGATTGTCCGATTGAAAATGGTACCATTCCCATCCAATGAGTTATTAAAGAAGGAAGTGATATTTATTTCAAAGGAAGAATTATCTGGGGGCCATTGCAAACATTTATTCCGCAAGTTGCCCATGAACAGCTGCAGTCCTATTAGCGCAAATACACTCAGACAGAACACAGTCAGGATCATGACATCAGAAAGCTTCTTCACTGACTGAATCAGAGCCCCCACAATGGTCTTCAGGCCTACAAACAAAATCAGAGGGAAAAATTTAAATATACTATTCAACAGCTTCTTTACCAGCACAAATATCATGAGCTTGTCCTGGAAAATAAAAATGTCATGCAGAATGCCAACAATATTAGTTTAATGTTTGTGGTTGAATAACAGTTTCATGAAAAGCCTGCTAGCTGGTGAAAATGAATGAAAGCAGAATCTGTATGTTCATTAGAAAACTGTGAATGGAAAGGGACCAAATATGTATTTCCAAACACTCCTTAGAGCAAAAGAAATGATTTTGTTATTCATGCTTAAACATCAACCTTGTGTAAATATTTTGCTTTTATTTGCAGATGTCTTACTCTCTAACCCCTTATTGGTTTTAGAAAAGTCTATATGGATAGAATAGTAAGAAATCTGGAAGCCACTGAATTACGAGGCTATATATTTGTGAATCTGCAAGCTTGAGTATGGGTTAAAAAAGGAAGACATCTGAAAATTGAGCCCCATGCAGCACTCATGCTATCCCTTGCTCTTGCTCTTTCATTTTATTTATCTGCAGTTAAAAAGATTGCCAGTTTTAGGTCTAAATGGTCAAATTTGCATCAACCTGAATGTCTCATAGTTTAGCTTCTATGCAAAAAGCTTGATGTTACAGGATGCAAACCATGTAGCCTGTTACTGCAAATGCCTCATGCAAAACTTGTTAAACTCAAAGGCTGATTTAGATTAGTTTTAAAGAAAGCAACTAGTAAAAAGCCAAGAATCAAATCCATCCAAAATATGATGTATCAATTCTTGCTTTTTTACATATTTATTTGCGATATGCGACAAGCAACAAGGCTTCTGCACAAAAGCTGTGATTGTAGCACCAATGCAGCTAAAGTCAGCCTCGGTGTTTAACCTAGCTCTCACCTGGAATGACTGAAATTGTTTTCAATGCTCGGAGAACTCTGAATGTTCTCAACGCTGAGACATTGCCCAGGTCCACAAACTCTGTCACATATCTGTAATAGGGAGTTCACACACAAACACAATGACAGAACACAAGAAACAGTTGGAGATATAAGGGGCCTACCACCTTATACCACTTTCTTCTTACCTGGAATTACAGAAATAGTTTTCAAAGCTCTCAAGACTCTGAAAGTTCGAAGAGCTGAAACATTGCCTAGGTTTACAAATTCTGTTACATACCTGTAGAATTAAATCAGAGTTATTCAGAATTTAACGAAATCTAAGTCTACGTTGGTCTTTCAACAAGACCTTTTCAACTTCAATGAGCGTTGCCATCAAATTTCTCGATCAAGAGAAAAAATGGCATTGTCATCAATCATAATCCCTATCATTCGAGAAACTTTATTTTAATTACTTTACAGTGCTAATTGAAAACAAAGCCACGTAATTTACTCTGATAATTCCTAATTTCTTCAAAGTGAATGATTTGATTGGAAGAAAAATATTCCAAATTTACATGATAAGTAAGAAAAATGCTTGATCTGTCAAGGGAAGCCACCAAGGAGAAATATATTATAGGCTCCCACCAATGAGTTACTCTTTCAGGATAGAAAATGTATTAAGATACTTACGCAAAGGTAATGACTGTGAAATCCAACCAATTCCATGGATCCCGGAGAAATGTGAAATCTTCTAAACAAAAGCCCCTTGCAAGTATTTTAATAAGTGATTCAAAAGTATAAATTCCTGTAAAAGTGTACCTGAGAGAAAATAGCCATGCTCTCATTAAAGATCTAGTAGTTAATATATATGTATATGTACATATCTTAAAGGTGATTTAAACAACAAACAAAAATTAGGAGCTTCCATATTGGTCTTCCTATGATATAGAGCTTAGGTGGGGCTTAAGGCAAAAAGAAACATTAAATTCCAAAACACATTCTCAGTGACTGTAAATAAATGAATATTTTACTTTCCACATTAATTAATTTAAAGGATATAAATAATATCAGTCTATATGAAGATATTATCTTAAATACACTGGCTTTCAGTCTGATTTAAGCAAATAAGTATTAATCCAAAAATGAACACAAGATTTGTGTTTCATAAAGTATGTACCATTAAGAGCCATGAAATATATACTAGTAAAACATGGAACTGTGATGGCCATTAGAAAAGGAACATACAAACTAGGTATAATTTTGATCAGTAGATATTAGCAAATCACTGGTGATCTTCAAAAGAGGGTAAGACTCACAAGAAAAATAAAGGGCTAAAATATTAACAGTCAAACTAGTGCAGTAATTTGAGCTACTGAATGAGCCACTGCAAGCTTTGTTCTAGAGGAAATTAGTGATTAAAATAAACTTGAGTCAGTGTCTGGTTTAGAGTAGCTAGCATGATTTGTTAAAGGAACAGATGAGGTCTCAAGATGTTACAAAGGACAATTTGAAACATAAAGGGATGTCAATATTGAAAGATATTTTTAAATTTTCTACTTACTCCACATTCTTTGTCCAGTCTGGAGGGTTACTCATGGTCATAAATACACAGTTGGTAAGAATAGTGCACATGATGAGCACATTGAATAAAGTAGAAGAATATTGTCAAGGAAGATAAAGTTCAATGGAGAAATCTCACTTTCATGCACTACCATGCCTTTACCACCATGAAGCTTAAATTTTTCAAGCTTATTATTATTTTATGCTACTTATTATTTTAACATTGACTTTTTCAAATTTCTGTAACTCAACAACTCCATATTTAGACCATGCCTAATGGCCAACCATCAACTATTTTGAGGCCATTTAGGTATTTTCAGTGATTAAAAAAATTAAATGCAAAGAAATTAGTTTATTGGTGAATAATTTATCAATTTAAGTTGCCTTAATGACAGACTCACTGAACAACAGAACTGTATGTATGTAAATCCTGAAGAAAATTCAACAAGAGAATTCAAGTAATTAATTAAACGCATTATAACTGCATTCTAAGGGTCACCATAGTGGAATGTCTTACAATAAGGTCCTTTCTAAGTAGAGTATATAATATGCTATAATTTGCTCATAAAATTCTGAATTGTGAGGGAAGATGGCAGGTATTAGCAATGGCATTTCTTGTGTTTGAGGCCAACTTCCTTGAATCTCAGTTCACTTGGCTATAAAATAAAGAAAAAGTAATTTCACAAGATTGTTATGAGGATCAAATTAGTTAAAATATATTAAATCTCCTACAGTTTAATTGGCCTGATAAATAGTAGATGCTCAATAAATTGTTTTCCTTACTTCCTGAAGCATAGAGAACACTGCTTATAATGAATATCTGTTTTTTTTCACCCTATCCCTCTTTGCTTATGTAGGTATAGCCAATGTCCTTCACTTTCCTTTACATTGAATAAACAGTACATAAAACATGTTTAAGAAAATATTCAGTAGTCAGACAATTGAAATTATTTTCTTTCATATTTAATAAAAAGCACAATGAAGATTCAAGTCAGGCACAGTAGCCCATGCCTGCAATCTCAGCACTTTGGGAGGCCAAGGCAGGAGTATCACTTGAGGCCAGGAGTCCAACATCAGCCTGAGCAACACAGTAAGATCCCATCTCTACAAAAAATTTAAAAATTAGCTGCTGTTGTATTGCATGCCTATAGTCCCAGCGACTCGGGAGGCTGAGGCAAGAGGATCACTTGAGCCTCGGGGTTGGGTGTTGCAGTGAGCTATGATCACACCACTGCACTCCAGACTGCATGATAAAGTACAATCCTGTCTCAAAAAAAATTAAAAGAACAAAGATTCAGTTATAATTATTATGCAAGGCAGCAAATTTAGACACAATTATAAAAATCTCAGAGAGGGAATAAATGCTATACGTATTCCTTTTTACTCTATCTTTTGTTACAAATCATCATATTACTTACACATAACAAAATATAGACATGATTTCAGGAGCAGTACAACAGTACAATGAATAGCCAATATTGTGTTAATCTAGAAAGGAAGTTTCTTTGCATCTACAACTGGTTATAGTCAAAGCAATCATTGGGTTTTTTAAATTTTATTTTCAGTAGCAGTGCTATAAAGCTCATACTTAATTCTCAGCTTGTTCAAATGCATCCACGTGAAAACAGTCATAAGTAAATGATGTGGATCAGCCACATGAGGGCACTACAATCTAGAGAACACAGAAAAACACCATTTCAAAGAAGAAACACATAGTTTTCCTTTATTCCTAAAAACAAACAAAAAATAATATAAAAGTAATGATGAATTGCTATTAGTGTATAAAACCACAGGATCCTCTGTGCCAGCTGGCCCAGGCCCTAGTGGGGAAAAGAACATCCCTTGGCAGATTGGCACCACTCTAAATGTGTGGTCACCAACCTCAACACAGTCCTGTATTTTTCCACTTTACTGCACCTCTTACTCTCTGCAAAGACAATTTCAAATGTTCTCCACTGTCCTCCAACCTCCAACCCTCTTCTTCGTTCCCTCTCCATTTCAAGCTGATGATCTTATTTCCTGCTTCACAAGAGAAAAGAGGTAGCATCATACTGCCATATCTCCACTTCCCACCCCAAAAGCAACAAACCTCTCAGCATTGGGACCTATCCTTTCCTCCTTCCTGTCACAGTGGGAAAGTCTTCAATCCCTCCACACGTACTGGGGACACTTTCCACCTTTCTGCAATACTTCAGCAATCCCTTATCTCTTCCTTCTCTTATCTTTAATGTCTCCCACTTTATTGGCCTCTTCCTGTCAACACAAATTTTTAAGTCTCTCCTATCTTGCCAGGTGGGTAGAGGGTGGAGAATCCTCTCCTGTAACTCACAACCTCTTTAACTACTTACAACCCTACCTTCCCTTCCCCATTTCTCAGCCAAACTTCTTAAAAGAGTTGTTTATCTTTCTTTTCCTCTATCACATCCTCAGCCTACGAGCTTTTCTTTCTAAAGATGACAAACATCTTCATATTTTGTCACTAAAAACAAAAGAATTTTGAGTTCTTATCTGACTTGCTTTCTTTGCAGCATTCGACAATGATTCCTCCCTTTTGCATTAAGTTCTCTTCCCTTTGCTTTCCTGAGTTCCCAGTTCCCTGGTTTCTCCATGCCTTGGGGCACCGATTTCTCTATGTCCTTTGAAATGTTGCATTTCCCTTTTAGAGAAGAAAGACATGGATATCTAAACCATTTTCCCCTCTTCTGCTCTCCTCATCTAGCACTGGTCATCAACAAACAGCTCAACAAGCATAACCTTTTATGTACCCACCAATCCCAAATACTTCTCTCCGGGTGAGATCTTTCTTCTAAATTCCACACACAGAATTGTTTATGTGATGTCAGCACTTAGATATCTCATCGACACTTCCAAATTGTTAAAAAAAAATTTAGTTGTAAAACGGAACTAAAAATCCTTTCACCCTACCCCTCTACTCCTGCTGCTAAATACTACTCCTTTAACAGGTCTGTATCTTACAAAATGCCCCATGATCTAGCTAGGGCTAGGAGCAATCTTGTATTTCTCTTTCTCCTTAAGCTACGCATCCAATTTATCACCAAATAGTGTTAATTCTGCCTGCTATTTCTGGATTCAGTCCACTTTTTTTCCATCCCTGTATCACTGCCTGGTCCAAGTGTCCTTCAAGACTAACATCAAGTCTAACAGTCCATCTAGATTATTGCAGTTTCCTCTCAACTGGTCTTTCTGAATTCATGTTTGACTCCTTTCAACCCATTCTGCGTACTGCACCAAAATGACCTTCGTAAATGTAATTTGGATTATTTTGGTACCTTTCTGCTACTCTTAGGGAGATGATCAAACATCTTAACATAGAGTCAAGATTCTGAGTCTGACCCC